CAAGTACTCACGCCGAAGTCGATGAGAGATCGTTGCAGAGCCTAATTACATCTGTAGGCCTCGACAGCCAAGACTCTTGGCCAAGGTCACTTTGCAATTCAGAGAAAGCTTCATTTACATGGGTGCGGCTTGGCGTGAGTTTGGTGATATAATGAAGTATGCATAGAGCAAGCAATCGACACAATCCTCCCGTCAACAATCTCTGAGATGCCATGATTCCACAATTGTTTAGCCACATTTGGCCGCTTTGGTAATGAAGTCCTGCAAGTCCAAGCATCAAGATTGATCATAGGATCTCATAGGTCTCTCGTCTAGATGGACCTGGAAAGTTTGAGATTGAGCGGAGGTCCCAAAACATGAGGAATACTTAGATTGGTTTCTCAGATCCTCTATCACTGTGCTTAGAATTCTTGGGAGATAAAGCCTCTGCAACTGTACGGTGTATCATCCAGCCAAACATTGTGTGGTCCTGCAAGTGGTTTGACATGCTAACTTTCGTAGTTCATCACGGTGTTCAGCACTTCAATTTTGGAAGCAAAGCACGCTTGGGCCTATTGCTTTGGTAGAAAAAACACCGACCCACCCACCTTCCCCTGCTTGCGGCCTATGGTCCAAGGCCGTATGCACCCCCTCGGAGTTCGGGGATCGCACCGAGCGTGCGGGACGGCTCAAGCCCTTGGTGGCGCGGCACACCGTGGCAGCCTCCGAGGCCGTCAGCGCAGCTCCAGGTTTTGGTTGATTTAATGTAGTCACAACTCCTTTCTGACTGGGGTGCCCATATAAGGATCGCCCGCCATGGAGATTGAATGCCCTTTGCAAGTTTTCGCAGCTGATCACCAGCTAGACAGAGTTGTTGAAGAGAACAAAGGCTTTGAGAGTTATCAGCAGGGTCCATTTCTGTATCTATGCTCATGCAGCAGATTCTCCAGGTTCATGCATCGTTGAGCAGAGTTGTTGCGGTCAGAAGCGGTCGGCTCAGATGAAGGGAGGTGAACCCTGCGAGCACTGTCAGACTGTCACGCACTGGTTTCCGTGTCTTCTTTGTGTACATCATATATCGTAGAATTCAGGTCGATCACTGATAGCAGCACTTGGAGAGTGGTTGGAGACTGCAACGTTCAAAGGTCAGATTGAGAAGCAGTTGCTTGCAACACCTGAACCAGATCCTCAGTCGTGCCCTTGGAGAGCAACATGGAGGGATAAGGAGTTCGTTGGGATTAACTGATTAACTGTAAAGGTAGCTAAAACAACAATGATTGCTGGTGCATGTTTTGATGTTTTGGTGCCAGGTCTTTTTGACGAATTGACCGAATAGATCAATAAAGCATAATAAAGCTTATATACTATTGCAGGTCTGACTTAGATGTCCTGCTTTAGGATCCATGCCAGCGGAATCAACAAGTCGAAGCATGCTCCTTGCCACTGAGGCTTCAAGCAACTTTGGATCAAACACTTCAAGAGATCGAGAAGCACCTCATTGAGCCTCTCTCCCGACGTTTGGAGGTCCGCAAACCGGTGATTCTGCGTGGATTTGAGAGATGTCATCACAAGGTTGATGTTGCACTCCCCTCACACTAGAAGCTAGAAGCTACTAGTAACAAGGGCATGCCTTTGTTACTAGTAGCGATGCCCACATCAAGAAGGAACATCGCAATCTTCTCTCCGCTTCCAGGCTGCATTTTGGCCCTGCGGTGCGAACGTCCTGGGCCGAGAGACTCCCCCGAGCCGCAGGTGTCGGTGTTTTCTTTCGGTTTCCTTTGTTTGGTTTCACTATGCTCTACTCGAAAAATCCTCATGTGCCCAAAAACCTTTGGCCCAAGAACCCCTGTAGGTGTCTAAAAGAAAGGAAACTGTTTGGAGCTTCCCAAGCGGCCTCCAAAGTCTGGATCCTGTTGTCCATCGGCCCCTCACACTCAAGGCCGAGATGCCGGCCAGCCCGAATCCCAAGCAGCTCCTCTTCTTGCCGGATGCCTCGATGGCAGCAATTCCGTGGGGCATCTCAAGGCAGAAACGCTGGAACAAGACTTGCACGAAAGATAAGGATCGTGATGGATGCTCAAAACTAGCCTCAAACGCAACAATAGATCTAGTTTATGTCAGACGATGTTGTGTTGCATATGGTGGACGCCATTGCAGGCGGAATTGATATCCAGCAGATCTTTAAACAAGAATGTCATCCGCTCCCAAGACTCGGAGCTTGAGCTTGTGGGTCTAAGCTCTACCAAAACGAATGCCATGGGCTGTGCCGGTTGGAGAACACGCACCTTTTTGTTGCATGTCTAAGCTTGAAAAAAACACTAAAAGAAACTAAGCTACCAAAAGGCACGTCGTCAACCGTGTTCTCAGTCGAAAGCCAAGGTTGGAGACCATGGCCTCCTTCATCAGACTCTTTGGCAAAGCAGAAGACTGTTTGTTAAGGTGGGTCTGGATGCATTTGGATGCACCGGGGGTGACCGGATGGATGCCTGATTCGATATACAGACCTTGACAAAGCTGGTGTTCAAGGAGAAACATTGATAAACTAGTCCATTTGTGTCACGATGCGCCTTTTGAAATCCAATGGATGGATTATTCTTCGAGTGTCCAAGTTTGGTTTTTCAAGATCTTTTGGGCTGCTAAAGATCGTTGAACATGGCTTCAAAATGCTTCAATTGACTCACTGCAAAGATGCTTCTCCTTCGGGTCCTTGTTGGTCCGTTTTGGGTTCGATCCGACTGTCGATTGAGTTTTTCACTTGACACTGCATTTCTGATATTTGGCACAGTGAAGTCATTTGACTACCTTAACATACCTTAAGTCAAAGTTCTAAATGATGCGATGCGAGAAGAAAGGGAGAGTGGCCCTATTTGGGTCAGTGAGAAAGACGTGCTTCCTCGCATTTAGCCAACAATAGCAGGGGATCTCTTTCTGAGGCCAATACGCTGGTCCTCAAGATGGAGCATGCTCCAAATAGACTAAAAAGAACATTACATGATAAAGAATATATTGGATTATTGTACATTCTTTGTGATTCACCGTTTAGAGCAACTGCCCTACCGCCAGGGACCATTCCCTGCACATGCTGGCGAAGCGCGTGAGGGATTCGACCGATGTGGCGGATGCCACGCCCTTGAAGGCGGCGAAGAGGGACGGGACTTCAAATGGAAGGACTCGGTCGGACGGAACTTGACCGAAGACCGTACTTGGAACATGACGATGGAAAATGGATGAAAATGGCATGTGAGCCACCTGCAGACTTTACTTAGTCCACAGCACTACAACATGAGATACTGAAGTGAGTGCATGTCTTTGGATTCCAGTGACTTAATGTGCCCGTCAGATTGGAAAAGAGTCGTCCAGGGCCACTTTGGGGTCACAGGGAAAGACTTGGTGGATCGTAGCGCGGCAACTCCTGACACCACTAGTCCGGGCTGGAGGCGTCGGACCCTTTTCGACGGTCTTTGTCTCAGTTTTTGAGACCTATGCATAATGCTACCCCCAATTCTGAGAAGCCATCCCAAGAATGGATGGAAACAGTTTTTGCAAAGTGGACACACCAAGCTTCTGGTGAAATCTTTCGGAACAGCGCACCGGCCAGGTGCCTTTGCAGACTGCCATGTCAAAGAGTTCGACATTGCTGGACAAGGAGCCAAGCCGCAAAACCCCCCACAGCACGCTTTTTCACAGAAGTGCTAGGGCAGCAAGCAAATCTTGCCCAAAGCATGTGCACCTTCCCTTTAGCGCATTGGAACTGAGCATAAAGAATGGAATTCTGCCAATTGTGGTTTTATATTGCTAGTAGCTTCTTGTCACATAGTAGTAATGCCAGGAGCAGCTAGTAGCGTCCTTGCTCCTAGTAGCGATGCCCTTTGTTACTAGGAGTTTCGTGTTATTAGTCAATCAGGTAACTGAATCCGAAAAGGCTGCGTTTCTTGTCGGCACAAAGAGGCCTAGCTTCCGTCGGAGTGCTCAGCTCAGCGAGACCGAGGAGGGAACTGCATGTCTTGAGCCGTTTTGAGACGTCCCGACGGCCATCCAAGGAGTCTCAGAAACAAACTGGCCCGATTATGTCAAATGGTCAAAAGTCGAGCATCAGAGGCGTAGGGTACTTGTAGTTTGCGACAAGAATGCTGTGATATTCATTTTGTTCTTGACATGAAAAGATTGCAACATCCTCAGGTGACCTTTGACCTGATGGCTCAAAAGTGAGCTGCAGATACAGCGTCGAATAACAAAAATGTGTCTCGGCACCAAAATGAAGGGGTTTGACAATGCATGTCGGAGCCATCATGGCATTTTAAATGTTCAAAGCTGACCAAAAACATCTAAGTATCCACTACCCAACAACAACTATGCCCGCCTTAGGTGGCTATGGTTCAAGAATTAGAGGAACCCCAGCCACCCTCTTGCCAATCTAGATTTTTTGAGCCAAAGCCACCCTGTTTGCTGTCTCACCCCGTCTCACTATCTCCCTTCAAAGGCGAAGGGAATTCATGTGCATTGAATGCAAGAATATGCAAAATAGCCCTCCAGGGACTCCAGGGTGCTTCGCAAGGACAGGACCTCAGACCAGAGAATCTCCTGAGACAAAAATTGCATGACATGAGTGGGTACAGTGCATGGGCCTAGCCAAACAAAAAGACCGGCGTTCCTTTCTTGGAAGCCAATTAGAAATCGCGGACAGGATCGGTTTGCGAAAGTGCCCATATGCCTAACGAAACTGTCCAACATGACTAGCGCAGGACGCACACAATCACGTGCGGACGTGATTCTGTGAGAATCAAACCTCACACGCTGCAGAAGCTGTCTTAATATTTCAGAACAATTTCGAGATATTTCCATGGCCAGCCATTTGTATACATAGGAAATTCAAGGGTATATTAGTACTTTAGGGTTTCTGGAATCAGAACCCGGAAAGTAGATTAGCTCAGCAGGAGTCGGAGTGCAAGCAGGAGCAGTTTGGCTATTTGTCACTGACACAACCCGTACAATGTCTTGCCGTCGTGAGCTGGGCGAATTTCATGTCGGCCAAAATGGTACCAGAGGCATGCTCGTGTTGGTCACGAATGATAAATGTATGTGTGCGTGTGTGTGCAACGGTTCAATGTTTGTCATTCTATGTTAACATTGTATAGGAACAAGAAGCTACTGGAACAAGTGCATCGCTACTAGTAACAAGTGGCTTACTAGGAGTAACAAGAAGCTATTAGAAACTTCTGGAAGTGTTTTGCACAACCTGTCTCGTCCCGTCCATCCTTTGGAGGTCTTTCGGCATGTGTGGGAAACCTTGAATGCCATGCCCGAGGCCGGATGCCCTAGGGCTCGTGCACGTCCTGGGCTCCTCCACTCCCTACACCACGAATATAGTAACGTGGTACAGAAGGTAGACCCTTGGCCTGGCATCGTTGACGATGTTCTAGTTCATCAACATATGTGTGTTCATGTAAGTTTTGTTGAAACAATGTTCACTATGTATGTCCAATCCCACAAGAACGATCCCTTTCATGTCAAAGCCGCGTCATGTGCCAAAGTATTTTGTCGTTGATGCTGTGGCGGTTTGAGCAGTTCGAGCCAAAACAAGCAAGCAGTTGCAAAAATGTGGAAAAATAGGATTGGGCAAAGCAGCCAAAGTATGCCAATGGGGAAGAAGGCTGCCAAAGGCCTACTCATTCAAACGGGCTGAAATCCAAGACAATACTCTTGCTTGGCAGCTTGGGAGGGAGGTTTCAGGAAGGCTTCATCGCTGTTCGTCAGGACTCCGACGACGGTGTCATGAGAGAGAAGGAGCAGCTTTTTTGATTCTATCGCCTGTTCTTGCAACTTTGGTGGCTGCCTTTGCTGCGGTTGGTTATCTCATGTTATCTCGAACGCTGATGACTCTTCCAATATCTTCCAATTGATCATTTCAATTAATTCCAAGAAGGAGCAGAGAAAGAGGAAGCGCAAAAGTTCCACACTCAAGAGTGGGCTGTGTGCGGGATGAAAGGAGGTGAATGGTTGGTCGACTTTTGTTTGACTGCGCCTAAAGTTGAATGAATATAACCTAATAGCGATGGCCTCCACTTAGTAGCGTTGTGTTACTAGTAGTAATGCCAGGAGTATTGGTAGCATTCTTGCTACTAGTATCGATGCCCTTTGTTACTGGTAGCTTTTGAAACGTGTCACATTTAGAGGGCTTCAGGGCAAAAGTCTGCAACGGCCTTTGCTAGATATGCTAAATTTTATCAGTACATGTCAATTCTGGTGGCCAGTTGCGAGGCTGGAATCATCCTCAAAGACTCAAAGTGGAAATTGAAAGATAACTAGCTGGTGCTGGAAGGATCTGGAAGGTTGAACTTCTGGCTCGACAGTTGGGACTGTCAAACTCCACATGTTTCTTGTACATGTCTTAATGCCCGCTAGGGGGGGGGTAGGCCGCGGATAGAGGAGAAGAGGTAGCTAATTGGTAGCTGCTCGGTACTGATGCTTCTTCAAGGAAGCTCCCCCCGGCCTGGGGGCAGTGGTGAGCTTCCTTGAAGAAGCTCTCGCACATTTGGTTCCTACATCTTTACACAAGAATTGAAAGCTGAGGAGAAGAGCAGCAGGAAGCGGAAGCCGCTGACATGGCAGCGGAGCGTGCGAAAAGTGCTCGGCAAGATCAGGCTGCACTTGTGGCAGCTCAAACGGGGCGTGAATTGCTGGAGGAGTCTTCAGGCCACTCCAGCTACTAGTAACAAGAAGCTACTAGGGGCTCCTGGCCTTACTACTAGGAGCAAGGACGCTCCTAGGGGCTCCTGGCATCGCTACTAGTAGCAAGGACGCTGTTTCTCCTCTGGGGAGGTGATGCAAGAAGCTTTGGAGGAGGAGGAGCACTTGAAGGCGCGTGGCATCTTGGGGGTAGTTCTACTCCTGAGAAACCGTAAAATAGAAGATGGGCTGTCCTCCACGTCGTGGTCAACCAATTTCACAGAAGGTTTACGGTTCTTCATGTTCTCAAGACAAGAGGACATTCTCCATGCATGATGGCATGATGCTTGCGCTTGCGCCAGTCCCTTGAAAAGCTGTCGAAGCAGGTCGGAAAGCAGGTCGGAGGCCAAGAGAGCAGCAGATGACAGATCCCTTGGGTGTCTTTGTCTCCACTAGGTCATCCGTATTGCTTCCCATGTTTCGAGGTCGAAAAGTCCAGAGCTGCCTTCTTTGAGACGTCCAGAGAGGAACAACGGAAGGCACGTCGGGGTCGTCGGTCGTCGGGTCGTTTCGGGTCGTCGAGCTGTTCACACCAACGGCAACGGCCCATGACAGGCTACAGCTCGAGTCGAAGGAGCAAGTCGCGTGGATGCCCATGGCTGCCCTGCAAGTCGATGCCCAACAACACGAGGGCAGCCAATTGAGAAAACTAAGTACGACAAATATTGTATTATATTTCTTTATATTGATGGAAAGTCTCAAGTTGTACTAGCGTCAAGCTGCTTCCACAGAGGTTCCGCCCAATAAGTGGGCAATGCAGACCGCTTGCGAGCCTGGGAGCTCGGGAGAGAGTACTTTTAGGGATTCACTTGTTCAAGCTTCAAGAAGAATGCAAAAAGTTAGATTGTATCGGGAATACTGGAATACAAAGTGAATGCAACTCTTACAAAATTGGTTCCAAGGCCATGGGCTTCGTATCAGAGCCGAAAGCTTTGAAAGGGCGCCTGTGCTCAGTTTACTCTGGCACGAAGTGTCCTTGCACATTTGGAGTTGTGTGACTTACAGGTAGACTCGGTAGACATTCTTTTGGCTATGGGCCACTCGAGCACAGATTAAAATTCCAGCGGTTACAATAGTGTTTTCTCTCCAAATATACCGTACATCAGTACATCTATCTTTCTGGTTTTGAACACTGCCTACGTAAACCTTCAAAGATGCCATTGCAGTTGTTTGCACTCGAAAACAAAGAAAATACAAAAGAAAGATTAATCTTTCTAGAAGCTACTAGGAGCAAAGGGCATCACTACTAGGAGCAAGGACGCTACTAGGGGCTCCTGGCCATACTACTAGGAACAAGAAGCTACTAGGAGCAAGGACGCTACTAGGGACTCCTGGCCGTACTACTAGGAACAAGAAGCTAGTAGGAACAAAGGGCATCGCTGATGACTGCGCTCTGGAAGGGCTCATCGCACTTCGTGTTTTCTTCCGGCTGCCTTGAGATACAGGTGCAGTAAAGTAATCGTAGACACCACCAATTGCTACCAAATTAGATCTACACTCTCAGTGGGATGGCTTGACTCCGCTAAGCTTGGATCTGGCTGCAAGGATTGCAACAACCTTCATGGTTTAGTATCTTTTTTAAAAGCCAGGATCAGGTTAATGGCCGAACAAAAGCGTACAAATCATATCAAGCCACGAAACAGCAACAATTGCAGCTTGCAGGGATTGCCCGTTGATGCTTGCGGCGTCCTGCCCTCGAACACTCAGCAAGTATAGTTTGGATACTTTGAATGATTGTGGATGTGAGAGATGTCCTAGATGTCTTTTTCTAGATGTCCTGGTTACAATGCGAAGCTCGCTGAAGCCTGGCCCAAGTCGTCGGAAGTTCCAGTTGCATTTTGGCAGTATGCAGACGCAGAGGACAATCAGGGCAGGGATCAGGGCTTGCATCATGCTTGTCCTTGCCCAGTTCTTGCTGCGCTCCCTGCACAGGATGCTTGTCTTCTTGGTGTCAGGCATCGGAGCCGCTTGGGTGATATGGTCTTTTCACTTTTGGACCGAGGAGTTCGCTCCTCGCCTTGAGACCACCTGGAATCATCCAGCTCACCGCGGCCCACCCTTGGCAAAGTTGGCAGGAAGCACTGCAAGGGGTCAGCCGTACTTGACATGAACCACATCCACTTGACCTTCAGCCAGTATATGTGGGCAAGCACTTTGGGTCTTGATGCCAGCAACTACTATGCTGATGTGGGGATTTTGTGCAAACTCACTTGGTGGAAGATGTTGTGAGCTGCTCCTTCAAACTGACGAGCCATCCGACAGACCAGGACTTGAGTGGCATTTGTGCTCAAGTTCTGTTGAATACTTCCTTGTCCATCTACTTTGGGCAAATTCCACTCCCTAGAACTAACATGGAAGTGGAGAATGGGAGAGTACATTGGAGGAAGATGGGAGTTACTTAGCTCATGTCCATTTTCCACACATTCTAATTTGGTTCGGAGATGTGTTCTCGCTTCGGCGTCCTTGCACAACAAACCAATGGCTTGCAAAGTGCTCCACAATAGAAGGTCTCTCAGCCCCAGCGGCCTGTTGGCTGTTTTACGTCACATTCTGACAGGGGTGGCGCCCCTTCTGTTGCAAGCCCCACCATATCCGGAAAGTATTTGCAAAAGATGAGCGTGGTCTCCACCATCCACAACCATTTTGGCATCAACTTGACGGCCAAGATTTCGGCGAAATTATCGAGCCAGAAGATTGGTCACAATGTCTGTGAGGTCTTTTGCAAGACGCAAGATCATTTACCTCCTCCACATGGACGCGTGGTGCGGCTTCGTAGTTATTCTTACATGGTCGACTTCATCACTGCCTGCGGCCCAGCTTCTTCCGAGCTCTCAAGCACTCGGATCAATTCCCATGCAACGTGGATGCCGAAGCATACTTTCTGAGTACGGTCATCCACTCGATTGACCATTCGGTTTTTGAGGAGATGTTGCCCTTGAAGGTTCTGGTCACCACAGAGGTTACACAGGAGTTGGAATCTGTCAAGCGTCTCCAAGAGATCGTTTTAGCTCGCATGGCGCCAGATCTGCCTGGAATCACGTTCTCTCGGCACTTTCATGAAAAGCCAACAGTCCACGCGAAAGTCTTCGAGGCTGCTCAAAAGATAGACCCAAAATTGGCGATGAAGATGGACTGCTACATTGTGAAGTGAGCTCTAGATCAACTTTGATTTCCCAAATTTAATCAAATTCTCCTTGATCCTGAACGCAGGATGTTTGCGGTTATGCGAGGCTGTAGTGGGTGTGTCATGGTTGGGTGTATCACATGGTTGGGAAAAGTACACTTCTTGTTTGAGCGTTGGAGAATTGATTTTTGCCAAAAGAAAAACATACCTTTAATTGTGCTATGAGATAAGTCCATACCAAGCACTGAGTGTTGACTCTGGTGCTCTTGCGCCAAGAGTCATATACTTGTTCTAACCCCAAGACCCCACCGCACCATTTGCGACTGCATTGCGCAAAGATGCTTTACAGTGCCAAATGGTCCAACGTTCATGCCCGTGGGCGGCATTCCATTGCCAGAGGAGCCCAAGAAATACGCCGGACTTGAATGATGAAAGGACTTGAAACCAATGCCAAAAATCAAGTTCCCCCTTGAAGCAAGTGCTGCTGGTGCTTGTACCGACGTGCGCGCCTGTAAAATCCCTGCCTGAGGCTCACCAGAAGTTGTTGGCTGTTTTCATCGCCTTCCTTCTAGTGGCAAATGATGTATCCATCAGAGATGCTGTGGTCAGAAGCCAAGATCTCTGATACCCTTGTCGTTTAGATGTAGTCAAATTTCATATTTGAGCCCTGCTTTGCTCGAGGCCGTTCAGCCATGTGAATGTGGATTTGCCGGATTGCCTGACGGCAGAGGCTGTTTGGTGCACAAGTCCTCCGATGTGGCGAGCCTCCATCCAGAAGCGGCCGCGGTCCGCAGTTTCAATCATGTTTGGAAGAAACCAGCATTGCTTCTTTAACTCCCCATCCAAGATCGTTAAGTAGTAACTAAGTGGGGCGGTATGCTTTGGAATGTCGCAAACGCGGTAGTTATGCAATCACCAAGGCCCAATAGTTTTAAGGCGGCCCGAAGTTATTCTGAAGGTCGATCATACAAGGTAGAGATCATTGATCATAGTCCTGCGGCAGCAACAAACAGTTTGACTACGACACCCAATTGTTTTCGGTTGAATTTCAGTTGGATCCATATATATATATATACTTTTAATTTGCTGCTTTCGCCCAATAGTTGGCAAGAATCAAAAGGACATTTTCGTATATTAATATATAACTTAGAATTTGCTGGAATAGAATCTACCAAATAGCCGAATAACCCCTCATGTCAAGCTTTCATTGGATTCGAAAGCTGGGAGAAGGTGATCGTAGAGAAGGAGACGGTATGTAGTGGAAATTTGGGGCGCGCTATTGTGAGTAGGTTGGAACTCGGGTATAAGTTTGCATGTATTTGGATGTCTTGCCTTTAAATCCGCCTACCTGATCACACTACACCCTTCAAGTGTGTTTCTTAAGAACAGGCAAACATTCTAAGGAACAGGTGAACGCTTGGACTGCGTCTTGGCAACAGCTGGTGTGTGTGAAGAGAGGATATATAACGAACAATGAAATATGTGGATAAAATGATTGATGTTTATCTTTTAAAAATACATAATTTATAGTATTTTGTTCATTAAATAAAGATATTAAGGAATCGATATATTAATCTTTTTGTTTAAAAATACTATATATTTATTGATTTTTAAAAATAGATTTATATATATATATATTTCTCCCATTGTTTGAAGCACCTAAATGATTTGATTTTTTTTTGTTGTTGAAGTTATGGGTAGGAAGGTATTTTTGTTTTATTTATATTGGAAATAAGCGCCATTTTAGCCTCAAGTTACGGTAGCTATTTCCTTGTAGATCTTCTCGCCATTTTCTTTGTCTAATGCATTGGATCTCTCGACCGTCACACTATTGATGATTGTTTTCATTTGGCTGCACATTTTTCTGTTAGGACAGAGGCTGATTTCCCTGGTCCTAAGTCTAGGGCCTATGGATGCCAATGCACCGCCTTTTATACCGAGCGGAACCATGGGTGGCGTGAGGGTTATCCGGGACTCCTTAATTCCGGATGAAAGTGGAGGTGGATCCTTCACTCGCAATTAGAGCTTCTTTACGAAGCCTTCTGAGGTATGGGCTAAAGGAGGCTACGGCTTTATCGTCTCCCGACCGTGCATCGTTCAAATTAAGAGGACCTTTAAAAGAGCCTGTTTCCGAGCACTGCAAACATGGCTACACGCCTTATCGAAAAGGCTTTCTTTTTGACACCGATGTACCCTGGCGCATTCGAGAAGCCTATAGACGGCACCTATAAAACAAGCTGAAGTCACGGACCCCACAGACCACACCTGGCATAAGATACATGACCTGGAATGCATCGAAGAACTTGGTCCATGACGAGCTTCTGCACTGATGTACATCTTAGCCCCTGGACATCATCGCCTTGTAGGAAATTGGATGGAATTTTAACTCCACCTGGACGTCATAGGGATGGCATTACATCCACTCCTCGACGAAGCACGCTGCTATACTTGTGCTTATTAGGGGTACCCTGGCCAGACCTGAACAGATTGCCTCGACCTCTCATTTTGATGATCGATTTCTTTAGATCCGCCTATTTTTGGACAGTACATATGACTTCATCGTAGTATATCAGCATGCCTGGAATGTAACCAAAGGTAAGGAACAACTTCTTGAACATCGTGCCAAGATTTGGACCAGTCTGCAGCAGATCTTGAGTCATATTCCGTAGCAGAATCAAATGGTCCTTATGGGTGATTTTAATACCACCCTCCAGTTCGACCCGCCACATATCAATAGCCATAATGCCCGTGCGTCCTTGACCACTCACACCGATCGAAATCTTCTTCTGCAGTTGGTGAAAGCACAGGACCTGATTTGCATTGCATTGTAAACAGCAGTATGCATCGACCTTTGAACATGGATCCCATCATTCTCGCATTGATTATGTTTTTGTTCGTTAACATTAGGTCCAATTTCGTCGCATGCAACCCACCATGGATAGGAATTTTATGCGCAATTTTGGATGTCATGGCCCTCATCATCATCCACTGTTCTTTATCCTGCCCAGGTGGTTTGCGCCTCGGAAACCAGTGCTCCCATTCAACACCATTGACAGATTTGCTATCCGTACGGCTAGACTCGAAAACACTGCACACTGGCAGCAATTTGAGGTCCAGATTCGTCAGAGCATCGCTCGACACTCTACACCTCATCCATCGCATCAGGTATCCATGCACGCTTTGGAACAAGAACTTCGAACGATTTGTTCTAGTTTCTTTCCCAAAAGAAAATCCCGGGTCCCTCAAGCACCCCAGATTTCCTCGATGGCCGCCAGGATGTGGACTGCCCGCAAGCAGGCTCTGGCCGTTCGTGGTCGCAGCATTCGCGATCTCTTTGAGTGTTGGGCTCATATCACCACCTTTCGAACCATCCATAAAGCCATACGTAAACAGAGCAGGCAAAACAAGAGAGACAAATTACAACAAATTCTCACTGAGGGTGCTGATCTTGCCCTTGATGGACGCATCTTTGCCTGGTACCGGAAGATCAGGCTCCTGTGTCCGAAACAAAGACCGAAAAGAATTCAGATCTTTGATAACCATGGCATGCCTCTTGCACCGAGACAGGAATTGGAATCCATAGAACACTACTATACCCAATTGTTTGCTGATCCGAAGTTTGAAGCCCGAGATCTCGAACCTCTCGCCCGTCTCCCCTTCGACTGCCAGGATGTGCTCACTGAGCTTTTGCACCTGCCAAGCACTAAAGCCCTGGCACCGAATGGATTGCCAGCACTGATCTGGAAGCATTTTGCGCATGATCTTGTTGATCCTTTAATGCATCAGATTACGCAGGTTTGGCTTCAATACCCCGTAAACCTTCCGGATCATTGGACAACAGGATGGATCCATCTCCTGACTAAACCGAATAAATCCCCAAGCAAACCCCAAGCCCTCAGACCCATCTGTTTGCAACACCCAGTCAACAAGATTCTCGCAGGAATTCAATGCAGACAGATCATTCTGCAGACGTTCGACCGACTTAGACGACTTCCCCTCTATGCGTATTTACCTCACCGAGGGACACGTGAATGTCTACTCATAGTGGCCGAACATTGCAGAACTGTACGCATGATGTGTAGGGCTGTCAAAACTGGACCTCAGCCACGGCTGCTTGGAGGACTCCAAGTCTCCTTAGATATGGAAAAGGCATTTGATACAGTCAGCCGCACCCTGGTGCTTCGTGCCTTGCAGCTGTACCGCTTGGATCCAGACCTTTTTCAACTTGTGCACACATGGCTCACCCCCCACAAGTATTGTATTCCCTTCAAGCAGTTGATCGGTCAAATACATGCACATAGGGGAATTAAACAGGGGGCCAAAGACGCCCCTCTGCTCTGGACCCTCACCATGAGCCTTGTACTTGTTGATCTCCAAAACAAATATTCCCATCAATGGCTGCATGAGCACATGGTCGTTTACGCAGATGACATCCACCTCCGGTGGATAATTCGATCCACAGCCCAAGCCCTTGAAGCTCTCACTGATCTTCAACATGTATTAATGACTCTTCAAGTCTTTGGCTTCAATGTCAATCTTCACAAGTCGGTTGCTATGCTTCGACTCCAAGGGAAAGAGGCTCCTGCCTTTCTTCGCACCTGGGTTAGTAGACCATCCACTGGCCCTGTCCTGACGCTGCCCGAACGAAGATGGCAGCTACCGCTTGTGTCGAAAACAGCGTACCTTGGAGTCGTCATAGGTTATAGAGCATGGGATGCTGACACGACCGCACGTAGGATCACAGCAGCCAAATGGTGCTTCCGCAATCTCAGGTCCTGGCTTGTGAGTGATGTTCACCCCATTCGAACTAGACTCAAACTATACAAGCAATGTGTTCTTGCCACGGTTCAATATGGCATTCATGAAATGGGATTGACTCAGCAGGGATTCAGACAGGTCATCAGCATGATCAACACACATCACAGGTCCATAGCCCACTCACCAGTGTGTCTCACTCATGAATCCACGACACATTTCTTCGAACGCCTTCGTGAACCACCACCATGGACAACTATCCTCACACAACGAAGGCGGATCCAAGACGCCCTGTCGGCTAAACGGGCCAAATTCCGTCTTGAAGCCATGGACACCGAGATGCCGGACGTGTGCGTGTTCGTCCCAGATCTCTGGTTTGAACCTTTGGTCAATCCCCCGGATCATCCCTCCCACATGGAACGCACTCAGGCAGTGGCCTGTCCTGAATGCCATCGAACCTTCGCGCAGGCCGGAACGCTGAAACGTCACATGAGGCAGGTGCACCAGGTCCCTTGCGAGCCTGACGACGTGTTTCAGCCTTTACGAGATGCCTGGCAAGGACGTTCGATATGTACGCACTGTTCACACGTCTTCGTTGATTTTTACAGACTTCGAGACCATATAAATAAGCATACGTGTCCTCGTTTTGATCCTGCGCAGGAGTCGATCGTGCCGATCATCAACCGACCAGATCTCAAAATGCATTTGCGACACAAGTCAGTCCCAGGTCTGTTATTGAACTCAGCATTGATCAATGAGATTGCCAATCACTGCACTTTTTGTCACATGCGGATTGCTGCTAGATCGATTCGTAAGCATTTCACGGAATACCACCCGGACCTGGTTCATCTTGCCGACCACTTTCGTGATCATGTTCAAGGCATGGCCAACATAGGAGGAGGCCGTGGCAGATGCAGCTTTTGTGACAGTGAATGCCGCGACACCAGAACGCATGAATGTGGGGTCCTCTTTCAGATCTCGATCATGATGGGACACACCTTTCAACCTGAACACTTCCCCATCATGCCTGTCATGCAAAAAGCTTCCAGGACTGGAACTACCGAACCTAGCTCCATCTC